AAACTCAAACACCCAATTTAAAAGTGGGATCTGAAATGAATAGACATTTCTCAAAGAAGTATAGACAGTGAATAAATATATGAAAAAATGTTCACTATCACTGGTCATTCAAGAAAAGGCAAATTGAAACAATGTGATTCCATCTCACCCCAGAAAGAGTGACAGTCATCAAGAAATAAACCAGTAACCAATGCTGGCAAGGCTGTGGGGACAAAGGAAGCCTCCTTCACTGTTGGTGGGAGTCTTGACTGATTCAGCCTACTATGGAAATTAGTATGGAGATTTCTCAACAAGCTAAAACAAGACATTCTATTTGACCCAGATATTGCCCTGCTAGGCATCTCCCCAAAAGAATTAAAAGCGGGGCTGGGGATTTAGCTCAGCGGCATAAGCGCCTGCCTTGCAAGCAGGCAGTCATGAGTTCGATCCTCGGTACCGATAAAAAGGAAAACGACAAAAAAAAAAAAAGAATTAAAAGCATCATATCACAGTGATACATGCACATGCATGTTTATACCAGCACAATTTATAACATTTCAATCTTAGAAATAGCCCATATGCCGTAACAGATGAAGAAAGAAAATGTGATATTTATATACAATGGAGTATTACTCAGCCACAAATAAGGATAAACTTGAGTCTTTTGTAAGTAAATGGATGTACTTGGGGGCCATAATTTAGTGAAAGAACTAAGACACTCAAGCTTATGTGTAACACTGTTTCTCTTGTGTAAGAAACAGGGTAACATAAGGCCATAAGGGTAAACAAGCCGCAAAATGGAAAATAGATATTAGAAAGTAGGAAGCACATGTTCAGATAGAGAGGAGAACAGGGACGAGGGGCAGAGGGAGAGGGAAAGAAGGGAAAAGGGTTTAAAAACCAAAGAAAGAAAAAGATGGAATCAAGGCTTTCACAAATGAGGGGAAGAAGGATTGAAGGGAGGGGAGGAGAAGGGGGGAAAGAATAATTAAGGTGTATTATGTCCAAGTACAAATTCCCTAGGTGAAGGCGAATGCTGTATATGGTGAATATGTACTAATAAAATTTCTTTTAAAAATAAAGTAATCCTTTGACAAGGAACAAGTATGTACAAGGGAGGGCTGGACAGGCCTGGCCTTTGTTGCTCTAAGAGTCTGGTTGGGATAGGGGAAGGGAGGCAGTCAGAGGCCTCCTGTTGGGCTGGAGCAGAGGGAGCAGGGTTCCAGGCACTGTGTCTTTAATGTCCTGAGACTGTGCTCTTCATGAGATGTTTCTTAATTACAGCCTTTAAATGCTGAAAACACTTTCTTTTCTTGCCCTTTGGGGGAGGAAAAAGCCGTGTTTCCAAAACGCATCTCATCAATGATTCAATCAAAGAAATGCCATTAACGAGAAGATAAATAAAAAATTTCTCCCATGTTATAATTGGGCAGATTTCAACAGTTAATTTATATTTCAAAATGTGAATATAAATTAAAAGGCTAAATAATTGAAAGATAAAAATATTCCTTATTTGACATTAAAGTCAGTGAATCGATCACATTTGCAGCACATAGCTAGTAAAAAGTGCTAATTTATGGCTAAGTAATTAAACAGGCAGACAGATGGAGAAGCAAATGAGTTTTCCTTGCATCCAAATTTGCATACTGTTTCTGATGGCGCACGCTCCATGCTCAACGTGGTGTCCTCCAGTACTGGAACCACATGGAGAGCTATTTGTGTCAATTTTGCTCCAGCTTCCCCAAAAAGGAAAGGGAGACATACTCGGAGTCACAGACTTTGATAAACACAGCCCTCAGCGAGACGCTCTCTCCTGGTCCTCATTCATTCATCTCTTTTTGTTTCCATTTCTCAGTGGGGAGCGGCAACTGTAAGCACTGACAGCCTACTCTGCACTGTAGAGTGGAGACCAGGAAGGGTGCAGGAGACAGCTAATGCCAGCTTTCTCGGTAACCAGTAGTGTGACGCCAGGAACCCCCTTCTTTCTAATTCTTGGTTTCTTCACTTGCCACAAGTTTGATGTCACCTTGAGGATCCCAAGGCGATATGGCACGGTGCAGAAAACCAGGGCTCTACGGCTGATCTTGGATTAAACACCGACTGGCTGATCTTGGACAAATTAGTTTAACACCTGTGCACTTTCCCACAAAGTGGGGATGTGGGAAAATTGTTCATGGAAACCCATTGCATTAGTGCCTTGCGTATGGTAGGGTACCTCTCAAATGTTAGATATTTCTTCTGTGAGTCCTTCCTGGACTATGCTGGATTCCCAACATTATAATAACAACAACAAATAAAAAAAAATAGTATTATAATCTGTTCCAGTCTCTTGTTTTTCTCCAACAGCACCAAGCAAAACTCCTGCACCAAATATGTAGTTAAAAAAAAAAAAATCACGTCTTACATTCAGGAAATTGTGCACTAAAACTAAGGAAAGTTCATGGGAAAAATAAGGTTAAGAACAGTTTGCTCAAAACCTTGGAACTTCATAACAAGAGCACAAGGAATGACAAACCTGAGAGTGAAAGATTTTTTAACAACTAAAGAAATGTTACTGTAAACAGAATTCTTTACTTTCAAAAGTGATGGTCTGAGCTTCTTTTCTTAACTGCTCATGGTGGCGGGAGATGAATGTTTTCCGGTCCGCTGTCCCCACAGAGTTTATGTGTGAGATACAACCCCCAGAGGGGTCTCCTGTTCTCCCCTTTTTTGCCATGTGAGTGTACAATTAGAAGTCAGCTGTCTGCAACCTGGAAATGGATGCTCCGCTGAACTTGCTCATGCTGGAGCTGTGATCTCAGACTCCGACCTCTAGGCCTGTGAGACGTCTCTTCTACTGCTCACTAGGCACCCCATCCGTGGGATTCTGTTAGGGTAACCCGAGCTGACTCCTGTTGGACAGGATGGCTCCATCCACAGGTCAGTTCTTCGCCCTTTACCCCTCCCATGTCCTCAGCCACTATCTTTGCGTGAACACTGGAACCCAAGTCACTCGGTGATTTGGACCAACGGCCACCCCTGCCCTGCCCACTGCACCCGGGCCACATCTATACTGTCTGCTCACAGCCGAGTTTTCAGCTATCTCTTCTGTGTGGCCACTGGAATTCGCTCTTCCTTTTTGCATGCTGAGCCATAGATTTTCATAGGGTCTTAAGATCTTGAAGGTAAAGTGTCAACAACTTTATTGAGGAAGGTTTTTGAAGTTAACTCCTGTCATAGTCTCTGCCATCTCGCCAACAGAATTATTGTTTTCTAAAAGCCTTGTGCTGAGAGCGTTCTGTTCCTTGAATAGCGTGAGCATGATGCGCATTGTGTTCAGTCAGTCACCCTTAAGGGAAGAGAGGAGAAGAGGGACTTGGTGAGGAGTGGAATTCTTCCTCCACCGAAAGTGCAAGCTTGTGCCCCTCTCCAAGGCTTATCAATTTTTTAAAAAGCCAGTCAAATTTAGCAGTGGGGAGGGGTGGTATACCAACTTTAGTGACGCTAATGTTAATAAGTTCTGATAACCCACTGCCCTCGGACCAGCCTAGGCTTATCGATTTTTTAGCATCTTTCATAACACACAGTGTAGACACGGGATGAGTGATCGCTTCAGGACAAATTACCCCGTGTATGAACTAGGAGGTCTTTTGCCTTTGTCCCTCTGCTCTGTTTATTAGCACTTCTGCAGTTGGCTGGATCATGAAAAAGACATGATGGAAAATGTTTCATAAAATTATTTAGCCAGGGATATAGCTCAGTGGCGTAAGTGCATGCCTGGCAAGCACAAGGTTCTGAGCTCCATTCCTGGTACAAAACAACATAACAACAACAAAACACACACATACATGCAAAACTATTTAATAAGTCATTAACATCTCGGAGAGAACAGTGAGTGGAAAGATGTAGGAGCCAGCTGCAAAAAAAGCTGTGCACTTTTGTAATCTCTGCCGTTGTTCTCTTGCTCTATTCATACAAATTTGGCAGCTGCATCTGAAACCTGCAGGGACCATCCTGTCTCTAAAGGGAATTTTAAATTTTCTTCTATGGAACTCCAGGGTTCCTTAAGGAGTCCTCAAAGAATCCTGCAGGAAATAATGTCTCTGTTGATCTATTCAACAGACATCCATTGAGTGCTGGCCAGCTGTCTGGCGCGGGGTTGGGCATGGTCCTTGTGGGAAAAGGATCTGCCAAGTTTCTGGCCCTCAGTCCTTCAACTGGAGCAGCTCTGCTGGTGTCTGCCTTAGAGCTGAGTGCTGTGAAAGGGATTCCTTCTGCTTAAGGACAATTTGACATCTCTGTGACACCAGGAATGCTCTAATTTGAAAAAGTGTTATTAAGTAAAGGCATTTGGGGACTGTGATCTAATAGATCTAAGTGAATCAGCACCTTGATGAGTACCTAACTGGGGTGTGTGTGTGTGTGTGTGTTACTCGGAATCACCTGTATTAAGCTGCTATAACAAATGCCCCAAATTCCACTGACCTGCAACATGAAAGGCTGGTCTCTTGCTCATGGTTACAGTTTAAATGTATTTTTCTCTTCAGATTTCTTGCTGAAATTTAATTCTTTGTAGCAATGTCACAAGGCATAACTTTTATTTAAGAAATGATGAGGTAATGGGGATCCACCTTCAAGAATGCATTAATGGTATTATTGGGTGGGGAGAGTACACCGGTCATCATGAAAGTGGGATTGAAATAAAGGAAATAAGACCCTGAGTCCTTTGTTCCTTTAGTTGCACTTATCTGTTCTACCATGGGATCACCCACACAAGATGCAGGCCCTGGACATGAGCTACATAAATTTCTGACAATTACAAATTTGGTAGTAATTTGTTGTAGCAACAGAATGCAGACTAAAACACTGGGATTTCCATTGTGCATTTTCTGTGCCTCCACTTCCTGTATCATCCTACTCTGGGACTCAGGCTGACAGAGTTAGTTTTTCCTGTAACACCTGTAGTCCTTGGTTGGAATGGACAAAGGACATGGTGAATGTGATAACTCGGACCCCGGTATAAAATCCAAGGAAGCAAGAAATTAAAATTTGGGAAGCAAAGACTTTATTTCCAGGCCTGGTGACACAGCCTCCAGGAGCCAATTTGGAGACTGTGCACCTCACAGCTAAAAGTCAGGGCTTTTATCTTGTAAATCCACAAACAGCTGCTGGTCACACAGTGTAAGGAGGGGGATGGGGGTGTGGCACACTACAAAACAGAAATGGGGATTGCAAGTCTCCATGCATACAAGCAAGTTTAGATAAGAAGAAGTCTTGTTTTTCTCAGCAAAGAATAGAGAAGTCTAGCAGCAATTAACAACCTTAGTTACCTTACTTTAGCACCACAACTGTTATTTGTAGAGGGCAACAATGGTTAAAATATCAATTAGGTAAGATTTTACAATTCTTTACAGAGGAGAGCATTGATTAACATAGCAATCCTTTACTCAGAGGGAAAAGGAAAACACACATACCATAAGGCCAAGTTATAGGTATTGCTATGATATAAATATAATGAAGCTATTACAACCTAATGTAATTAACACAATTTGTGACGGACTGCCAGTTAGAGAAGGGGGTTGTCAGGAGCTATTACCTCAGGCCTTTGTTTTATGGTCTTTTGGGAAGTTAAAACTTAACCTAGTTAGATGGGAAGAGGGAAGGGGAGGGGAAGCAGCAGGTGGCGCTTATACAGAACAGACTTCGGCGCGATAGTTAGGGGGCCTTAGGTTATAACAGTGAACTTACATTGGTCCTTATAACTTCTGCCTGGAAAGTAGCAAATCACTGTCCTTGAATCCTCTTTGGGTGAACAAGTTAACTGGCTTCCTCTGGCCCACATCACTGGGACACAGATATATACCCTTTCCACAGCGAGGGGCAGCAAATATTCAGAAACAATTGTGCAAAGTGCCCTGAACTCAGTAAATATTTGTAATTAAATCTCTCTATATGATGGTCGTGTCCTAATGCATTATCTGTAAGCCAAGCTGCCTGATCAGAAGTTCATGACTGTGTGATTTTTTTTTTTTATTATTATGTGAAGAGCTCAAATGAATTTAAAATAATTTCAAGGTTCTTGTTGCCACAACTCGGTCACAACCCCCCTCCCCCAGCACTGGGTAAGCAAACCACATGCCTACCATTCCACAGCCCCTTATCTATTTTCTGCCTTTTCAAAACGTGTCATAAGACATGAGAAGGAAAAGTTCTGGAACTTCTAAGGATTAAGAAGAAATTTGCATCAGCAGAAAGCCCCCAGAAAGCTTATTGCATCAGCTATAAACCCCCAGGAGTCGACGAGCTTAGTTCCAGAGCCAGATTGTATAAAACAGGCTTTAAAAGTACTCTGGAGCCAACCTATGTTAAACAAATGGTTTGCCAACGGGAAGCCTTGAAGCAGGGTACAGAGAATGAAGGAATGAAGTGATCCCAACCTCCCATGAGGATTTGCTCAATTGAAACAAGATCATTGTATGGGATCAAAGGGAAGAAAGGAGAAAAAAGAAAGAGAGAAAGAAAGAACAGAAAGAAGGAAGGAAGGAAGGAAGGAAGGAAGGAAAAGAGATTTTTTGGAGTAACTGGATTGCACACAGGAAAGATGCTTCTTTGCACAGGAATGATTCATAAGGGAAAGCTGTGGTTGAACTCTGCAATGCGGATGCCAAAAACTCCACTCATGTCAGCTGTGCAAAAGGGAAAAATACCAATGATCAGAGCTGAAAACTCCAGTGATGAGTGTTGGCTTTAGATGTGGCTGTATCCAGGGGCTCATATATTGCCTGAATTCATTCTCTCTTTCCTGTCTCCCTCTCTGTTTCTGTCTGTCTCTGTCTCTCTCTTTCTTTCTTTTTTTTTAATTTTTTAACAATTTATTAACAACTACTGCAGAAATAATCTGAGGCTATTCCCCACTGATGCATGAAGTTCACACTTTATAAACCTGCACTGGCTCTTCAAAAGTCTTCCTGTTAGCAGAAAAACAACTACTAAAGTCTGTGAGTATGCAAGAAGCCTCTTGCAAAGGTCTGAGAATACGGCTAAATCCTGTGATTACAAAAGTGAGAGCTGCTGAGAGAATGTATTCCAGACAGGGACTTTTAGGGATGACCTTGGCTGACAAATGTTTTTAGGACATTGTTTATTTTAAAATTAGTTTCCCAACAAACCATGAAACACTTGGATGTTATTTTATGGTTTTCATTGAAAACAAACTACATCATAAGTGGAGTTTCAAAGTTAAGACATAGAACTGACCAAAATCTGAGGATGAAATTATGAAAGGATGATACTAAAAATGGATAGGGGAATGTTTCATTTGGTAACTTAACCTAAAGTATGGATAACCATGTCATGCTGGACGGATACAGGAGGTGGATAACCCTGTGCTTTTATTCAACTACGGTACTTACCACAACCTTAGGTTTCATACAGGTGTCAAAATCCCACCTGGAAAGGGATAATCTTCTACATTACACCTACATTTACTTTAAATAACTGAAGCCCAAGGCAGCAGTTTAAAATAACAGTCAAATAACTACATAATTTAGTACATTAAAATAAAACTAGGACAGTGATAACTGAATGTCTCAAAAGTACAAAGCTTGGGAAGAAAACCGCTGTCCACAATTTGGAGGATGTTAAAGTGACCACTCAGATGGTGAACAGTGCAAGACATGCTTTCCAGTTACAAGCTCAAAACAGGAGTGCAAACAAAATTAAAGCTTCTGTGTAAAGTTAGGAAAGCTTAAAATTAATATTAAAAAGCTTCCCTCAGATCAGCTCCCAACAATGAAGTTATCAAATCGCTTTCATGGCACAGTTTTCTTCAGCGGCAAAACTAAATCCACAAGCTAGGTTCCCCATTTGACCTTCAAGCACAGTAAGGAGTTAGGACCAGCACTACCTCCCAGAGGCCTGGTCATGACAGAAAGAGCCCTACACTGGGGTGTCGATGTCGCTCCCGGCCTGCAGGAAGAACACGCGACAGATTCTGACAGTGTGCAACCTTGCCTTTATTTGTCTCCACGTGGGCCCCGCGAGGCCTCCTCTCTGTCACCAGCCCTTTCTCGCCGGTGGACTTTCTCTATCTCTCTTTGTGCTTCCTCTCGTGGCGGGAGAGGTATTCACTTTTATAGGGCAACAGTAGCCAATCAGTTCAAAGCGCGCGATGCGGGCTGACTGGCTAACATCAGCTGTTGCTAGGCAGACTATCTTACAGAGCGGGTTGTTTAAGTCGCCAGCACAATCAGGGGGCAGGAAGCAGGCGCCAACTTGACTCACTCGATGGGAGGGGCAATCTAGCTCAGGCTCCGCTCCCACCCACAGGCCCTACGTCCGCCAAGTAAGGCGACCGGTGTAGGCCGCGGCTCCCAACATCTCCCCCTATTTTATTTACTTTGAATGAATGTATGCATCGCAGCCCGCCCTGGATCGAGTGCAGAGGCTTATGCCCTGTGTTGAGGCCCACCGTAGGCCCTTGGCTTGGACCCTGGTCGGCCGTCCCCGGGTCCACCAAGGCCTTGAGACCCTCGTCCTTTTTCCAGGGCCAGGAGTGAACTGGACGGAACCTGGATGCACATAGGCATGCACTCATGCCCCTCCATGCGATCCCCTCGGAGAGACATCTAGATCTGGGCAGATTCTAGTAATCCAGCGGCTTTCGTGCAGTATGGGGTAGGGCCTGGCTTAGGTCGAGTCGTGCTGGGGAGGCACGCTCTTACCCGTCATTGACTCACCTACCCTGCTGTGTAGTGTCAATAGGGAAGGAGTGCGGAAGACCCGCCACATCTAGACCCGGTCGTAGGCCAGTCAAGCGAGCCATGCGTAAGCCTGGGGGTCATTGTGCCCATCACGGGCTGCTGCCAGGGCCGCATGGGCAACCAGGCGTACTTGACGCCGGGCCGCCGCAAGGCGCCCATTAATAAATGATGTGACCCATCGGAGCAAGCATGGTCCTATAAGTAAGAGCAGAAGCAAGGAGCACAGGGGACCTAACAATGGTAAAATATAGGGGAGCAAGCCATTCCAGGCTCCCCAAAAGGGGTTGTCTTGTAGTTCTTTTCTTCTCTTTTCTAGGTCTTCTTGCAGTTTCTTTAATCGGTCTCGAACGATTCCGGACTTGTTGGCATAAAAGCAGCATCTTTCCTGTAAGGCAATACAGATACCTCCCCTCTCTACAGTGAGTAGATCTAGGCCCCTTCTATTCTGCAGAACAACCTCTGCAAGGGAATCAATTTGATCTTGTATCTCCTGAAGGGTTCTCTCAACTATAGACATGTCTTCTATCAATTGCTTGGATAACTGAGTATATTTGGTTAATGAAACTCCTAGGCCCGCAGTCCCGGCGGCCAGGGCTCCAGTTATCCCCAGACCAGCCAAGAGAGGTAAAATCAGTACATCTCTCTTATGTCTTTTTATAAAGGTGTCCACAGCTGGGATGGGCATGGGTTGGTCCCCAGGGACAATACCAATGTCAGGCAACAAGTAAGCTAGGCCACATAGGCCGGTCCAATTACTGGGCAGGTAGGTATAAGCATGACCATTGCCGCAAGCAAATACTTTGCCAAAGGGGGCACATAGCGGCGAGCTACTACTTACATTGGTTATGGACTCACACGAGGCGACTGCCAGCGCTCCAACAACAATATCATAACTATTATCTTGTGGGTACTTTTGGAAACAGGATGCATTAAACTGTCCCATAAACTGGACCCGAAATGGAGGCCCATGTGAGCAATTATAGGGTGTGCTATAATTGTAAGGTTCACTTTCATAGTCTCTAAACGGCATGGCCAGCGGCCATGATTCTCCCATCATCATACACAGCCAACAATCGGAGGCCAGCCCTGGGTCAGTAAGATTGAGTGCTTTGTGGGTAGCCTCTAATATGGATTCAGTAGCGGGGTCAAGGTTAATGCCTCGGGATTTTGGGCGTAGGAGTGGATGGTAATTGACTTCAGGGAACGGATTTAATTGTTCCCATCGCTCGATGACCTGTTCCTGCCGGTACTGGTCTTGGACCCCTCCACCGTCAGAGATGTGAACGGGAGCGGTCATAGACCAACAGACCGTTTCTCCAACCTCTCCATTACAACCCGACTGCATGAATGGAGAACTGCCTACAGCAGCGGGAATATGGTTAGGGGCAACAGGGCTTTTAGTTGTAGTTAGCGTTGCCATCCAATAGGTTGTACTCTTAAGTTTGCATTGTTTTGTCTCTGTATAGCATGTAACATGCATGGATTCCTCAAACTTAGTGCAGGGACATGTGGCGAGATCACCAGGCCCTGAGGGACTCACCTTAGGCTTAAGTATGCACTGATAGGATGGTTGACTAAATCCTCCTGCAGTGGAGGGGTACACAACTGAGAATGCTGTTTTATCCCCACAATCGGTCCCTGGTCCTTTTTTGGCGCTAGGTGGTATACTGCTTACCGTGCCACCTCCGCAATCGCACGGACTGCCAAGAAGGCTCGTGCGAAGATCTATTCCAGAAGCGGGGCCCCCCAGCCCCGCATGTACCATACTTATCCTGAGGAGTGCTAGGACAACGCCCCCAACGAAAAAAGCAGCCTTTTTCGGGTTCATCTGGCTGTCAGGCCTGCTGCTGGTCTCCGGCAGGACAGGATTAGTCTTCAGTCGAAGGGCTTGTCGCACGCGTCAGTCTTTCTGGGACCCACAATGGTTCTCGTCCCGGTTCCTGCGGGAAAACACAAACCGCACCTCGGTTCCAGCTGACTACCGGATCCGGGCCCATCCATTGTCCCGTCAGGACATCTTTCCATTTTACCCATCCCTTATTGCTAGGAGATGGATTACAATGCTCCATAGCCGGGGGGTGGTTGTTATTGTTCAGGTTTAAAAAATTGTATGTGAATAGTGCCATGGATAGCCGTGCCTTTGGGGGCAGGCCCTGGCCTACTCCCCCTTTTTGTTTACATAAGATTTCTTTGAGGCTTTTATGAGCTCTTTCAATAATTCCTTGGCCTTGAGGATTATATGGGATACCATGTTTTAAGTGTACTTCCATAGTCTTACAGAACTCATTGAAGGCTTTTCCTGTATAGGCTGGTCCGTTGTCTGTCTTTAATATTTTGGGCTTGCCCCACGCGGCCCAAGCCGCTAAGCAGTGATTGATCACATTAGATACCTTTTCACCTGTCTCTGCAGTTGTGAATATAATATGAGAACAGGTGTCCGTGGAGACATGGACATACTTAAGAGATCCAAATTCTGTCATGTGTGTGACATCCATTTGCCAAATATCGCCAGGGATCAACCCTCTGGGGTTAACCCCCATTGATATGGCAGGCGTGTGTGTGGCGCATGAGCCGCACAGTCGCACGATGTCCCGCGCGTCAGCCCTGGAGATGCGGTACTGGTTGGCTAGCGTCCTGGCATTGACATGGAATTTGTCATGGAACTGACGGGCTTGCTCTATTGGAGATAACATATTGAAAATCCATAACGGGCGAGTGGCCGCGTCAGCAGCCGCATTGCCCTGTACCATGGGCCCTGGTAGGTGTGTATGTGCTCTTATGTGAGTGATGTATATTTTGTTGTGTCTATTTATGAGCAATGTCTGGATAGACAAAAACAAGTTAGTTACTTTGGAGGTTGGTTTAATTGGGCCTGCAGTCTCAAGGACCTGCATGGCATTGACAACATATTTTGAATCAGAAACAATATTAAGGGCCCCTGGGAACTTCTCGAGGACGGTTTGTACAATTTGTAACTCCACCACCTGTGGTTGATCTGGTTCAAACTGTATGTTAACTGGAGGCATGCCTGAGACCACATAGGCCCCTATCCCGGTTTTTGACCCATCAGTATAGACTGTTGTTGCAGGAGTAAGGGGTGCAGGGGCGGTGATTTTTGGAAATATCACCGGATGTTGAGTAATAAACTGTAGTATAGGGTCCTTAGGGAACTGATTGTCTATCTCCCCAAGAAATACACATCTCAGGATGGCCCAAGTATCTATGCAAGCAGTCAGAATTTTTATTTGAGAAGCGGTATAAGGCACCCGAATAGCGTGAGGCGTGGAGCCAAAATGCTGGATGGCTCTACTATGTGCCTCCAGAGCCAGAGAAGCAACTGCTTCCGGGTAATGTTCAATAATCTTGGCAGGTGAAACCTTAGGGTGCACCCACAGAAGTGGTCCTTTCTGCCAAATCACTGCCGTGGGCTGGGAACTGGTCTGCAACAAGCAGACCTCAAAAGGCTGTTCTGGGTCAATTCTCTGTAATGTAGCTTTGCTTAGGGCCTCTTCTATCTTCTTTAGAGCAACTCTGGCCTCTGGGGTGAACTCTCTAGGGGAGGCAATATCCGGATCCCCTCTCAGGAGATCAAACAGGGGCTTTAAGTCCGAATTAGGGATGTGCAAGTAAGGTCTGATCCAATTTATATCTCCCAGTAACTTTTGCATGTCATTTAGGGTTGTAAGATTATCTGTTCTGATGGTTACCTTCTGTGGAGAAATCGATGTAGGGGAGACTTTGGTACCCAAGTAAGTCACTATGTCTCCTCCTTGAATCTTGTCAGGGGCAATATGTAAATTAGCCTTTCTCAGGGCCTTGACCAGTTGGCCTAGCATATCCTCTAACCTATTTATGTCCTTCGCACTGATCAGCAGATCATCCATGTAATGAATGCACCTAACTCTGGGGAAGGCTTTGCGTAGGGGGGCCAGTAGGGAATCAAGGTAAATCTGACACATAGTGGGACTGTTGGCCATACCTTGGGGCAGCGTTATCCACTCGTATCTGAGATCAGGGCTTTCTTGGTTAATGGTGGGTAAGGTAAAGGCGAACCTATGGGTGTCCTCTGGATGCAGGGGGATTGAGAAGAAACAGTCTCTAAGATCTATAACATAAACTGGCCAGGACTGAGGGATGGCTGAGAGAGCTGGCAGCCCCCTCTGGACCGCCCCCAGGGGCTGCATCTGCGTGTTGACCGCCCTTAGATCATGGAGCAGCCTCCACTTACCTGATTTCTTTCTAATAACAAAAACAGGGGTATTCCAAGGGGAGGTTGATGGCTTTATGTGCCCTGCCTGAAGCTGGGTTTTGACTATCTCGGTTAACGCTAAAAGCTTCTCCTTGGGTAGGGGCCACTGAGGTACCCAAACCGGATTCAGGGACTTCCAAGTGATCTTAATTGGAGTAGGCAGGAGAACTTCCTCAGCGGCCCCTAGGAAAAACCCAGCCCGTGTCTACCTTCCCTTTTTTCTACAGGTACGGGAGATGTCCGGCCCTGCAGGGCAGAGCCCAGGCCCTTGCCGGGGACATATCCCTGATTCTTAAGTATACCCTTGGCTTGGGGAGAGCAGGTGGATGTAAGAGTGACATCCATCTGAGTGAGGATGTCTCTTCCCCACAAAGATACCGGCAGCTGTAGAACAAAAGGTTGAAAATGTCCTTGGTGACCCTCCTCATCACACCAAGGCAGGGTCACGGCACTAACCTGGGGGGCAGCCACCATCCCCAACCCTTGGAGTGTGTTATCAGCTGTATTGGTGGGCCAGCTAGAAGGCCAGTCCCTCTTGGAGACAATGGAGCGGTCTGCCCCTGTATCCAGGAGTCCTGTTATATTTCTACCATTAACCCTGAGCGAGAGCATGGGTCTTTTATCAAGAGTCATATGAAGTCCTTCAAAAATTTCTCCAGAGGAGCCAAAACCCTGATCCCCTCTAACCCGTTGTCTAGACTGGAATCTCTCATGGAGACTGGGGAGCAATAAAAGTTGTGCTATCTTATCCCCCTCATTAATCACCATGGTCCCTACATGAGATTGGACCATAATCTTAATGTTTCCTGTGTAGTCTGAGTCTATAACCCCAGGGAGCACGGTAAGGCCCCGGAGGGCTGTGGAGGACCGTCCAATCACTAAACCAACTGACTTTTCAGGTAGCGGTCCTTTGAAGGTGGTCCCGACCACCTGAACGCCCATATCGGGCGTTAATAGGAGTCTGGAGGCGACACAGAGGTCCACGCCTGCTGACCCAGGGGTAGCCCTTGTGGAGGGCTGCCACCTTGTGTTGTCCTGTCTAGGGGGCGGGGGCCCGTCCGTAAGGAGGGCCCCCTCTGGCCGTTTTTTGGCTCCTGAATCCCCCTGCCACTAATGCGGTTTCCCTGGGCATCAAAAACTGATCTGCAATCTTTCGCTTTGTGTGTTCCCTTCCTGCATCGTTCGCACACGCCTATTGGCCCTTCCCGTGTATTAACACTGTGCGGACAGTCTCTCCTAATATGCCCTGGTTCCCCGCAGCCAAAACATCCTTTGGGCTTACGATCTCGCTTAGGTCCAGAAGCATCCTTAGCTTGTGCTGTCGCGGCTACAAAGGCCGCCGCAAGCTTTGCTGCAGTCATCTGCCCTCCAATCTCCCTACAAATCCTAATCCAAGCATTGAGATCCTTGTTTTTATGCGGGGCAAGAGCCGCTTTGCACTCTGTTGTGCATTGTTCAAAAATGAGTTGTTTGATCAGGGGCTTTGCCACTTCTTGGTCTGAAAAAACTTTATCGCCCGCGTCTTGCATCCTAGCCACGAAATCAACAAATGGCTTTGTGGCACCCTGCACTATCTTTGAAAGGCATAATGAGGCCGCCCCCGCACCGTTCACCTGTTTCCATGCGCGGAGCCCAATATTAGAGATTTGGTCATACACCTCATTGGGGAACTGAGTTTGGTCATCCCTATATTTACCTGAGCCCTGGAGCATATCTTCGTTCCACCTTGCATGCCCCCTGCTAACATTCTTTTCTGCTTGCTCAATGGCAAACTCGGCATACCAGGCTCGCCAATCAAGATAACTACCCGAAGGAAGGCATGCCTTGGCCAGCTGCATCCAATCACCTGGTGTAAGAGGCTGAGAGGCAAGATTCTCTAGCATAGCTATAGTATAAGGAGCTGTGGGCCCGAAGGTCGTGACAGCGCTTTTTAATTCTCTAATCTGTTTTATTTCAAACGGTTCCCAAACATTGCGCCCTTGGCCTGGGGCCATTTGCACAGGATATACTCCATAAAGACCGTAATCCATTCCTTGCATCGGTGGATCCCCTCCGGGCCATCGTTCACCCCTCCATAACCGCCCATGAAAATATCGTCCGCCCCGCGGCGCAACGTCATAAGACGGCGGTCGCGACAGAGTGGAACGGGGCGTCACTTCCTGTGCCGGCTGAGAGAAGGGAGGGTTCCCTGTAGCGGCCTCTCGGCGGGGAGCCGCTTCTGGAAAAGAGCTCCAGGGCGGAGCGGATGGCTCTCTGTCTCCTCCCCGCCAGAGAGCGCTCAGGGGCCCTTTCTCCTCTCTCTGCTTTTCCCGGGCGGCGCACGCACACAATTCCAATTCACGGCGCAACTCGGCATAGGGGTTTTTGGCCTCTCGGCTTCCTGCCCCACCTTCTGGTTCCTCCTCGCTATCTAAGTCGGAGGACTCTAGAGCTTGGGTGTCCTCTATCTTTCCCTGGATTTTTTCCCCCTGGACAGATCCCTCCCGAGAGCATTCCGACTTTGCCTGCTCAAAAGCCTTGCGTGCGTCTATGATTTCCGCGTCTCTAACTGCTGACGGGAACCCCTTCCCCTCCCCTTCAAGGCACGCATGTATCATTTCCCACAGGGGGCGAATAGCCGGCGAAATATCCCCTTCCAATTCCGCCGAGGCGAGGTCCCCGCCTAACTTCTCCCATGACGGCAGGTTTAAATGCCCCGTGGGTAAAAACCAGGGAGCTACCCTATCTACCTCTGCTATGAATAGTTCCAGTGTTTTTTGACCTACCCTGAGGTCTCTAGCTTTTAAAAGCTTTCTAAGGGCCTTTACCGAGGGCCGCGCCTCCGCGCTAGGTAAATTACCCATCTCTAACCTCTAAGGGCTGTAACTCACCACGTGTGACTTAAAGAACCCGTCACCTACGCGTGAGCCTGAGGGGAGTCTAAAAGCCCTGTAGGTGCGTGCCACCCAGAGCCCAGGCTTATCCCCAACTCACCTGTCCGGCAGCACCACGCTGGAGCGTTGCACACCACCGCCGTGTCTTGGGGTTGATCAGTCCCCGTGCGGGTCACCAAATGTCGATGTCGCTCCCGGCCTGCAGGAAGAACACGCGACAGATTCTGACAGTGTGCAACCTTGCCTTTATTTGTCTCCACGTGGGTCCCGCGAGGCCTCCTCTCTGTCACCAGCCCTTTCTCGCCGGTGGACTTTCTCTATCTCTCTTTGTGCTTCCTCTCGTGGCGGGAGAGGTATTCACTTTTATAGGGCAACAGTAGCCAATCAGTTCAAAGCGCGCGATGCGGGCTGACTGGCTAACATCAGCTGTTGCTAGGCAGACTATCTTACAGAGCGGGTTGTTTAAGTCGCCAGCACAATCAGGGGGCAGGAAGCAGGCGCCAACTTGACTCACTCGATGGGAGGGGCAATCTAGCTCAGGCTCCGCTCCCACCCACAGGCCCTACGTCCGCCAAGTAAGGCGACCGGTGTAGGCCGCGGCTCCCAACACTGGGGTTCTGCCTTGGCCAGTGCACCTGAACCCTACAGAGCACAGCTAAAGCAACAGGCTTTAATAGTCTCTGGTTCCTATAAAACTGGAGGACAAATGGACTAACAATTCTCCCCCAGAGGCAAGCAGTTTCAGTGGAAGATGGAAAGTGCTCAACTCAAGGAGACGCTAAGAAGTGAAGAAGTACAAAGGTTCAAGATCAATGCCAGTGTAAGAGCTTGAAGTGGGCTGACTAGGCAGTGCATGCATCCATCCGTGCGCATGTAGGACATGGCCCCAGAGAGAACTGAAAACGTGGATACCAACTGGATCCGTCCCTTGCCAGTAGTTTATAAAAATATATAGTCAATACTGTAGAGGCTCCTTCTGCAGTCAACGCTATGCAAGTCCTTTCAGTTACCTATTACTTCGATACCAAAAAGTTTAATTACTTTTCAGACATTCCAGACAAAGGTCACTTATAACAAAAAGTCAACTTTTTAAAACAAGATAGTGTCCATTTAAAAAGTAGGTTTTTTTTTTCTTTCAAGTGAACAGGACATTTTCTGTATGAAACAACTTCTAGTCTGTCAAGACTGGTTTGCTTAAGATCCTAGATAATGTGCATATATGCAGAAACAGACAGACATCTGCACAGAAAAAGGTCAACTTCCCAAAACATGATAGAACAGGTCTGGTTAGTACAATCTATTGCAATATAAAAAGATTCTGTGCATCCGTCCCAAAAGGAGAAGCAGGGAGAGAACGTCCCGACCATGAGTTTAGGCTGAAGTCCAGTTCTGAAAGCCTAGAAGCCGGGAAGGACACAGAGTTGTTCCCAGGATCCTGATTGGCAAAGCCACTCCTTCCTCTGGAGCAAGGCCTGTCTGTGGTCCATCCAATTTACTTTCGATTCCTAAGCCCTTGGATTTTCTAGGTGAATCGATGGCTTCTGCAGCCTTTCTCCGCTTCCTCGGAGACTCTTCACTCTGCCTTGGCCAGGAGGAGGACCTTCCCACCGCACTCTCCATGACCTCCCGAAGTTTGTGCTCCAGCTCGCCAGCCAGCCAAGCATTCTGCTCGCCGATGACCTGGGTCTGCCCGAGCAGTTTCTGATCTTGGTCTTGAAGCTGCTTCTGCTGCTCCTGCACTTTGGTGCGAAGCTCAGCAACCTCTGGCCTGAGAACAGTCACAGCAGCACTGTTGGTCTTGACCTGCTGTTGGAGTTTAGTGACCTCCTGTCGTGAAGGGTTCTGCTTGGAGAAGAGCTGCATTGCCATCAGGGCTGCGGACAGTCCTGGAACTGGAGCAGAGCCCATGAGTCTTCCAGACACATCTGAGCGTGGCAATTTCCTCTTCAGAATCGGAATGATCTCAGCAAAGTACTCCATGGCCATGGAGGAAATGTCCCTTAGCTCCTGGAGGACTTCATGAGCTCGCTGTGGGGCTCTGGTAGAATTGACATAACACATGATAAATCTCATCAATCACCTTTCCTGGGATGAAGCAATAGAGATTGGAATCCACGTACTTCATGAAAGTCATATTTAACAGCGACAGCCTTGTTTCCACAGCAGCAAGGATGTCTGCATGAGAGCTAAGGAATGGTTTCTCCTTTCTGACTCCCACCTTGGGAGCTGGGCTTTCACCTGCTTTTGACACAGATTATTGTTACGCTCTATGCTTATTGCCCTAGTAACCATGTACCTGGAGCACCAACCACACTGTTGTAAATTTCTTATAAATTAGCTGACTATGTCGTCATGCTGTTCTGTATGTGTCATTCCCCCCTACCTTAGTAACCTGTTTGCTGTGTTAACTTTTGTTCCCCTTGTAAGAGACAAATGATGCTGTGTCAACCATTGTTCCCTTTATGAGAGACAAATGTTCCTGGAATTGGCAGACCAAGGGCTGTGAATTGGCTAACCACCCACTGACCCACTGTGAAATGCCTCTGACCTCAAGCAAAGGGGAACAAAGACCCACCTTGTTTCTGTTTCTCATCACTATGTACTTTATGATCAATGAGCTAATCATAAATGAATTATAAAAATTCTAACTCAGTTGCACAGCTTTGCAAATTCCATTTGCACTGTGCCACTGGGCCAGCTAAAATAAAAGCGCTTCTTTTAAAAAAGACGTCATCTTGCCCCATTTTCCATCTCATGGGGCCTTGTTTCTTTGGAGGGTTACAACAATTATTGTACCTCTCCACTTTCAGAAACCCCTGATTCAACATTCTCTGGCAAACCAAGTCCACTCTTTTACGAACCAGGCACAACTGACTAATTTCGTAGTAGGACATAAAGCTGAGGATGTTCTCAATGGCTACGCTGGGCAGCACCAGAGCTGTTGTTCTGAGGCAGCTGGTCCAGAACCAGTGCCGGTGCCTGGGACCTGGGCTGCCGGGGGCTGGGCAGGGAGAGGCGGAGGCTGTCCCTGGGCAGAGCCAGCTGCCAAACAAGAGCTGCCAGTCACCGTGGCTGCCGCCTCCCTCCTCAGTCATCCACTCCTCTATGCCGCTGTCTTGGGAGCTTGATCCCTTCCCCCGCGCTGTCTCTGTCTCTTTCTCTGTGACTGTGTATCTGTGTCTGTGTCTGCCTCTGCCTGTCTTTCTGTCTCTGTGTCTGTGTCTCTGCTGACTCTCTCTTCTCCCAGTCTCTCTCTGTCTCACATCTGCCTTGCTGACCTTTCGGACAGTTCTCGAATTCCTATACCAGAAAGAAGTCCTTCTTAGTTACTTCTGTTGCTGAGACAAAACACTCGACACCCATAGTCGAAGGGGGAAAGGTTTATCTGGCTCACAGTTTGTAGAGGTTTCAGTCCATAGTTGGCTGGCTCCAGGGAAGATGGCGTGGCAGAGGGGCATCGCAGAGCAGAAGGCAGTGGTAGCAGCAGTAAGCAATAAGTGATAAGTGACAAGGGCCAACACAGCTCTTTCTGACCGTTACATTCCTATCCAGGCTACCTGCTCTTAGTGGGGGTAGCACTCACACCCTTAATCCCAGCACTGCACTGAGAATCAATCCCACGATCAAGTCCTTGATCCCAGCTTTACACAGCCTAGATCCAGGCACCTCTGAAGAGCCCCACCTGTGATCCCAGGAGGCTTTGTGATGCAGAGAGAAGTTGTAACCAAGTCTTTAGCCTGCTGCTGGCCTGGGTGGCTTTTTCCCTTGACGCGGATAGAGCCTTTCTGTGAATTTCCACCTGGGCCTTCTGGCCCTCACCCTCCTCTGCTCATTGCTGGCGATCAGCTCCAGAATTATCCCTCTGCAGGGTGTCATCAAGACAGCTCTACACTGCTGATTTTCAAACGCACACATCACTGCACCTGTCGCTGTGTTCCTACTGGTTGGACGCTTTCCCAGGCCAAGCCTGGTGATCTTTAGTGATTGAGCCATCATTTGTGACAGGGGTTATCTTGTCCCACCTTCCAACCCAGACATCCTCTTCGTCTAGCGGATAGTGGGCACAAGAGCCACCACTTCCTGTCTCTGCCTGTGTCCTCTGACCTCTGTCATTAATGTATAAGTTTCTGGGGCCTCTGGGAAGTAGATCCTGAAATGGAATTAAGTATGCTGAGATTTTATTAGAGCAAATGATGTGAGAAAGTATAGAGGACCTGCGAAAGGACAGATTGCTCTTAGACTTTGAGAGAAGGAGGGAGGGAAGGTTAGAATGGAAGTGACCTTGACCCACATAGAGGCTAAAGAAAGTCTGGATGCCAGGTAGTCCTGAGCCAGTGCTGGCTGCCAGAGGAGTCCTGTCTCCAGGCAGGACCAGCTGTGTCATTCACATGACCCAGGGGAGTGTAACTATTCAGGGATGCTTGTTTAAAATCATTACTAAGAATTTTAAGATAGCAATAGCAGAACAAGCATTAAGCTGAGCACAGGTCCTTCTGAGTGTGGGCTGGTGTAACTTCAAGGTCCCACGGCCTTGCAGGTGGCCTTAGGACCCCATTGTGCTGGGTCACCGTCTGGGGCAGTCTGTGGGAAGTGTGACCTCCCTGCCTCAGGCAATGGATTTTGGTGCCCAGCAGCCAGGCCCACACACAATCACGCTTTCTATGGTTGGAGATCTGAGGCACATTCTCATGACCCTGAGACTGATGAGTGCATTTCTTTTTGTGGTTTTTAGTTTTTTCTCTTAAGAAAGCCGAGCATAAACACATTTTCATCTATCTCTAGTTCATTCATTAAAAACATTTTGGGGCTTCACTAATGATGAGATTTATTTGTCTGAATGTTATGAAGTAGAGATTGCCTTAACTTTCTCCCTCAGTTGATAACCCTATGTCTTAGTATCATTTATCAAATGACTGGTCTTTTCCCTTCTGATTTCAATGTCTGTGTGCCAGATATTAGCTTCCATTGACATACACATGACAGGAGGGAATCCTGGAGCTATTTGGGTCTCATTCAGCTGCATCCCCAAGATAGTGGGTGCTACAGCCCACATTCCACGTAGAAGCATTATGAAGGGCTAGAGAGAGGCTTTCTTAAGGTGGGTTTTGTGATAAAAATACAGGTTGTGGGGGCTGGGGAT